AAATAATGATACATGCTACAACATGGTTGAACCTCAAAACCGCTATGCCAAGTCAGGTCCATTGGCACCACTGACATTTCGGGATAGACGATTCTTTGTCGTAGAGGGCCATTCTGTGCAGGGCAGGATGTTTTAGCTTTATCCCCAGCCTCTACCCACTATCTATGCCAGTAGCGCCCTCTCCCAGCTGTGACAACCAAATATATATCCAAATTATTGTCAAATGTCTCCTGGAGGCCAGAGTCACCCCTCCTTAAAAACTACTGCGCTGGGGCACCTGGGGGGGGGGGGGCTCAGTCAGCTGAGCATCCGACTCTTTATTTCAGCTCAGGTCATGATCCCAGGGTCGTGGGATTGAATCCCGAGTGGAGCTCTGCGTTGAGCGTGGAGCCTACTTAAGATCCTCTCTCTCTTTCTCTCTTTTTTCCTCTCCTTCTGCTCCCCTCTTCCGCTCACACACTCTCTCTCCCTCAAATTGAAAACAAAATTACTGAGCTAAGCACAAAGTCAGATACGAAAGATTTCATACTGTATGATTCCATTTATATGATTTCATTTGTATGATATATCCAGAAAAGTTAAATGTGGGAATAGAAATTGTTTGCAAATTAGCTCATGGGAAGTTGGGGGGAAGTGATAGAAATTTTGTGGTGATGCGGCATAACTTTGGACATTTACAAACAAGTCATGGAGTGGTACAATTACAATGGGCAAATTTTAGGGGATGTAAATTGTACCTCAATAGAGTGTAAAAAAAAATTACACCCATGATAAGTACCATGCAGAAAAGGTACAGAGGGTTTCCACAGATCACAGTGCCCTCTCTGTTCCAGTCTGGGGAGAGGTAGCCATTGAACTGAGACCTGAAGGTTGAGAAAGAGCTAATCTAGGGGTTGGGAAATGGTTTCTGGGAAAAGGAACATCGTGTGTGAAGATCCTGGTGCTTTGAACACTTTAGAGACCAGTGTGGCTGCAGCACAGAGTGAGGGCAGGAGGGCTTTGAGGGATGGCTGGTCGGGGAGATTGAAGCCAATCAGAACAAATCTCATTAAAAGAGTGAAGGAGCTTCATCCTTCTCGCTCTGCTTGCCCTCTGTCCCTGCCATGGCTTCAGTCACCATCTGTGCAGTAACAGCTCTCACATTTCTGGGTCTTTCTGGGTCTTTCTTAAAATCTACTCCAGGGGCGCCTGGGGTGGCACAGTCAGTTAAGCATCCAACCCTTGGTCTCAGCTCGGGCCACGAGCTCACAGTTTGTAAGTTCAAGCCCCATATCGGGCTCTGCGCTGATGGTGTAGGGCCTGCTTGGGACTCTGTCTCTCCTTCTCTCTGCCCCTACCCTGCTTGTGTGCTCGCTCTCTCTCTCTCTCTCTCTCTCTCACCAAAACAAATTAAATTAAAATCAATTAATTACATTGAATAATTAAAAACCATAACAATAAAAAACAAAATCTACTCCAGATATCAACCACTCCGCCACATTTCACAGATGTCCCACCCAGCTGGCTGCTAGTCTATACATATATCGTGCCTTGGTATGAACTAGAAAGAGGCGCCCCCTCCAGGCACCCACAGCCCCACAGTTGGTAAGTGGATAGCAAGTTCTGCCATCAGTAAACACCCCAACCCGTCAACGCCTGCTTCTCTTCCAGTGTTCACCCTTTGGGTAAACACGGAAACAATCCATCAGGCAACCTGAGCCAGGACTCTAGGCACCATCCCTCACTTCCTTCTCCCCCAGCCCCCACAGCCACTCCTTCACCTCATCCCACTGATTCGCCTGCTCGATGTTCCTAGGGCCGGTCCACTGCTTTGTCTCTGGTTGAGGCCACCCACGTCTCTTCCCTAGACACCGTGACAGCCTTCCGAACCTGATCCTTCTGTCTCGTTGCACCTGCCAACCCTTTCGCCACAATTGTCCAGGCAGTAGATCTCGTCTCGTCGCGCACTCCCCGCTTAAAACTCCTCCCCCAGCCTTTCATGTCTCCTCTTGAGGAATGAGGGAAGGTGCCACGGTTGGATTTTCTAACCAATCAAGTTAGGAGGACTTTCTTATTCCCTGGCCCGCCCCGCCCCCCCCCGTAAGGCTGTCGATGAGAAGTGAAAATAGAAGCATAGCCAGATGACCAGGCTGGGACACGACAAAAAGGTACCGAAAATGGCAGGAAAGGCAAACTTGAGAAGGGGTGAGGTCTCAGGTCACTGTTCATGCCTCGTCTGGACATACACAAGTTGTTGCTAGAAGGCAAGAATCTGCCCCACCATTCCCTCTCCCAGACTGCACCCTCCACCCAGAAAGCCCCAGACAGCCTTAGATTGGAAGCGGTGGGGCGACAGAGACCCAGCATCAGTCTCCCTGCCTACAGGCTGGACAGGCTGTCCAGGGCATTTGCCCTACCCCTGAGCAAGGCATCCCTCCGGAACATTCTAGGCGCACGTGGTCAGATGTAAATGCCATGGTTTTAGCTTGGGTTTTCACTTCATTTACAGTGAAAAATGGAAAAGGCTGAGTCTTCCTTGCTCTGTACTAAATTCCCCCCCCCCCCCACACACACACCTTTTCCCTAGGAGACAAGAACTCAGAGCAGTGAGGCACCACCTGATTTATGCTTCAACATATAATAATTATCACTCCCCTTTGAAGAGGGCTTTTAACCCTCAACAGGGCTTTCTCATCCAGTAGATCAGCCCTCCTCCACCCAGTTGCCTTTTGATGTGGTTTGGACAAGTATTGTATCCCCAGATGCCAGAGAGATAAGGGACGTGCTCAGACTTATTCCAAGAGCTCCAACAGGGAGAATCATGCAGCTGGGTCTCCTGACGCTCAGCTTGTGAACCTGATCTTGATTTCATAACCGATGGCAGCTTTAGATGGCACGGATGTCAGCCTGTCAGACAGAGCTGAGCTAGCCAGGGACAGGCCTT